CCAAAATGGTGGCAAGATTCACTGCCTTCCTCAAGAATGCCTGGGCCAAGGAGCCAGCGCTGATAGTGTCTTTCACCATGGGGGGGCCTAGATATAATTCTGCCCCTGCTCAGTCCTTACACCAATCACAGCACCATGATCAATCAGGCCACACCCTACAACTACCCAGCACCCTCTGAGACAATGGGAATGGCCGATGTGCCAGCCATCCCAGGACCCCCAACAGCCAAGCTTGGAGTGGACTAATAAACTGTGGGCATCTCTGTTGACAGGGAGGAGACCCTCCCCCTTAGGCTCCCAGTAAAAGTGTGAAAACCAACCCCAGAAAAAAGTTATCTCAAAGAGTTACCATATGACCCAGCAATTACACTCCTAGGTATTTATCCAGTAGAAATAAAAGCAAATGTTTATGCAAAAACTTGTATAGTAATGTTTACAGCAGCATTAGTCATAGTAACTAAAAAGTAGAAAAACCCCAAATGTCCATTGCTGATAAATGGATAAATTAAATGTAGGCTATCCATACAATGGAATAACATTACTCAGCAATAAAAATAAGTGAAATATTCATCCATGATACACCATGGATGAACCATGAAACATTATGCTAAGTGAAAGAAGTCAGTCAAAAAGACCACGTATCGTATGATTCCATTTATATGAAATGTCCAGTATAGAGAAATCTGTAGAGACAGGAAGTAGATTAGTGGTTGCCATGGACTGTGGGAGGGAGTTGGAGGAACATGGGGAGTGACTGGTAAGATGTATGGAGTGATGAAAATGTTCTAAAATTGATTACCGTGATGGTTGCTCAACTCTGTGAATATGCTAAAAAAAATAAAAAACAGAAACAACTCACTGAATTGTATACTTTAAGTGGGTGCATTGTATAGTATGTGAATTACGTCTCAATATAGCGCTTATTAAAGTAAGAATGACCTGGAGTTTCCTGGAAGCGTGAACCGAGCTCAGGCCCATGGTCACCACCATCTTAGGACTCCAGAGCTCTGTCCGCTGGAGTCAGGTGGGGCTGAGCTAAGCCCAGGGATCATGCTTCTTCACACTTCGACTCCTGAAGCCAGGGGCCCTGCCAGTGGGTCCTGAAAGCTGAAGGGTCGCAGAATGTTACCCCAAATAGGACAGTAGGGGTTTAAGACATGACACCCCAGAATATGCTGCTTTGTATATTGATAATTTTGAGCTGAGGGCACCTGAAAAACAGCAAATGCAAGGAGAGGCCGTCTCTGAATTCCTTCATTTGCCTAAAGACAGATTCTCCGAAAAGAACTCAGTTGTCATAAATTCCCTGTCTGAGAACTTCATCAACCAGGGGAGATGTACTGTTAGCACAGACAAGGAGATTATTAGTGTACACACACAGACAAACTTTGTCACAGACTATCACACCTTTCATCTATTCTTTCTTCTAAGGGCTGATTCTTTTTCCTGAAAGTCACTTACTCTCCCCTAAGATTATTTACATCCCTCTCCCCTTTCCCTATGAAGATGGTATTTAAGCATAAATTCTAAGACCCAGGAGTTACTCATTTTCCCCTCAGTCTCTCCTATGTTCACACGAGGTATACATGGTAATAAACTTGTTTGTTTTTCTCTTGTTAATCTGTCTTTTCTTACAGGAGTCTCAGCTAAGAACACAGAAGGGTAGGGGGTAGTTATAGGGCCCTGGCTTCAGGGGAGTCCCTTCCTGGGATCCTCAGGGCTAGTCGGGGCTCCTGGGGTTCCAGAAATGAGGAGGGCTGGAGAACTTCTTTATTTCCTTCCCCACGAGAGCTGAGGGGATCTCACTGGATGGGTGTTTGGGGTGAGGAAGAGAATGGCACAGGGCAAGGGCGTACAAAGTAAATTGATTAATTCCACAATTTTTTGAGCACTAGCTGTGCACCTGGCACAGTGTTACCTGTGAAGCAACTAGGATACAAAGACGTCTAAGAGCCCCTCTGGCCAGGACAAGCTTGCTGAGGCTGGCTGCAAACAGGTGTGTGAGAGAACTGTGGGAGGGCGGTACTAAAGCGGTGTGCCCGCTAGTACAGTGGCCCACAAAGAAGACACAAGACAGGGCTCATCTCCATTCCTACAGGAAGCTTCGTGCCATCAACATGGTTGCAACCTCTGTACCTGTGGGCCTTGCCCTGAGACCTCTCTTCCTAAGGGGGTCCTGCGATGCAGAGATGCTGAAATGGTGGAACCTCGGTACTGTGTCCTGGGGTCTGGGTCCCTGAAGCTCACTGTTTCAGTGCTGTACAAATGGAAACCATGGACAGAGCTTCCCCACAGATATAAAGGTGACCAGGTTTGCTGGCCAGCCCCACAATTCCCATGGACCTGCTAAAGGAGCAGAACATACTTAAACACAGCAATGCCTCTGCTTCTCATCTTGAGTGTATACTGTTTCAAGTACATTATAGATTATGTAAGTGTTTGTAGGCTGAGAACATCTATCCATAGGAAAGTGTATTCCAAGTTCTAAGTCAACAAATACTTAGAATACAACTCCTTTGCTAGTAAGTTAACATTTTCAGTGGCTAGATTTCAGGAAAGTTCCGTTAAACGCTCTAGGGCCTGAACTACTGCTGGGCCAGACACGATGTGGCAGAAGGCTCCCCAGGTCTTTCATGGGAGGCTTGAAGGGGTGCCTGCCCCACAAGCCCCAGCCCTGCCTTTGAGCTACCCATTCATCTCACCTGGCTAAGACCCCAGCAGCACCAGGGTGCCAGAGTCAGGGACAAGGGGTCTCGGGGTCCTGCTCAGCCTCTGTGTGGTTCTGGCCTAGCCGAGGTCTGGGTGCCAGGACCACGTGCTTTCAGAAGGAGATGGGAGCTGACACACGGAAAACAGAACATCATAATGGCAGAAACAACCTCTGCGCTGGAAACAGAAGCTACAACTACAGGAGAAAAATCCCACAACAAATTCCAGACTGCAACTCTTCTGATTCCTGGACCAGGAGGGGATGGACGGGGAGGCTCCCCCTAGTCTACTGAAAACAGGGCACCATGAAGAACGCTGTGCAACCAGGCTGAAATTAAACAGATGTGGATTTCTTTAATTCAAAAGCTTAATTATTCTGACGTTTTCCATAACTTAATCTGAGACATCAGTCCAGCTTTAATTATGCATAATGAAATGGACTATTTACAGTAACTGGTATGACAGGAAAAACTGAGAGGTGAGAATTGGTAACTTGGCAACTGTTTATTCATTTTTTTTTTCAGCCAGTGTTTATTGAGTATCTACTGTGTTTCAGCCTTTGCCGTGGTCCTATAGATGTCGTATCAGGAAAAAAATGGTATCACTAGAGCCCATACTATGGGCCGGTTTCTTTCACTTCATTATCTCATGTACCGCTTGCAATAATACTCCATGGCAGGTATTATGTTCCTGATTTAAAGGAGCAAAACTGAGATTCTGAAAGGTTAGGTAATTTGCCTAAGGCTACACAGCAAAACCTATGCTTTTTGCCATCTAACCTACCTCACACAGAAACCTACAGACTGACATCCTGAATCTTACTTTCTGCTTCATGCAGGAAATGTCACCTTTTCCTAAGAGAAATGTTGCTTGTTATTTTAAGCAGGCTAGAGAGTGATCAAAATTGTCCTTTTGGGAAGTTAACCTGACAGTTTCCTGTAGGATGCATCAGATGCTACTGAGGCCAGGACCTTAGCCAAAATGGTGGCAGCAAGACTGGAAAAAGGCTGCAGGTGGCGCTATGGAGGCTGGAAGGGGCCTGCTAAGGGTTTGTGTGATGGGAGGGGGAGGAAGACAGCTTTGCTGCCCTGGGTTTGGGAAGCACACTGGGCCACTCAGTAGCAGCTTGACCTGGGGCAAGTCAGTCAAGCTCTCTGAGCCTCCCTTTTTTGTGTGCCTTGAAGGGCTATAACCAGCTTATTTAGCAGCCTCAATTCAGAAGCATATAAACTGAAATGGTTTTGTTTGTATTCCAGTCATTATTTTCAATGGCCTCTGTTAAATCTCCCTCCATATCGTGCTTCCTGGTCACTTTCAGTTATTCATGGTCCACCACAGTTTTTACGGCTCTTATCTCAAAGTTGACGCACATCTTATTGCCTGGCCCTTGTTGCTGTCTCTCTCCACTGGCTGTGGCGGCCCCCCGGCTCATGCTGACTAACTGGCCAGTGATGACCAAAGGCTGGTTTGCTGCTGGGGCATGCGCAGTCTTCAGAGCTCCTGTGGGGATCCCCACTGCTCATGTCCCTGACGGGAGGATCTGGCTCAGTGCCCCCTAAGCTCCTCCTGCCACTAACCTTGAGCTGCTGGGCTCTCCTTGCCCAGTGAGCAGTTCTCGAGCGAAAGAAGCAGGACAGCGGGTCCAAATCCGGCTTCCTTCCCTGTGTCCCTGACTATTCTGACTGCGCTACGTCAGGCTGCTCCACTACCAGCCTCCCTTTGCGCTGCCATTGCTCCTTCTGAGTGGAGGCCGGACTCCAGCCCAGCCGTGTTTCACTCACCAGGCCCTGTAGCCTGGCATGAGGCTGCCTGGGACATTAAAACACCATACAGGACAGCATCTGCCTCTGAGGGATCAGCCACATCACTCCCCAGTGGGCAGCAACCTCACTCCTGCGATAAGCTTCCTCCACAGACTTCTTTGAGGGCTAGAGTAGTGGTAGTGATGGATGGAGTCAAAAGTCTAGCACCACCTTGAGGAGGGATCTGGTCCCAAATGAAAGTCTGACTCATCAATTCAATTATCAGAAAACTTCCCACTTCCCCACCCCTGCTTCTAAGAAAGACAAAATGCCTGGTTACAGGGTTACTGAGATCATCATGAATGACTATGCTTATGTCTAGCTTTTCCTATCATCTCAGTCTCTCTGGTCTTTTTTGCTCTCTGACTTCTCTTTTGGGACTCTCTGTTTACACCATAGGTGTGGAATTTTAGGATGGACTCTGAGCTGACCAGGGTTTGTTGGTTGTTGGCCTCTAGGGTATCATGCAGTCACAGAAGCAGATGATAATCAAAGAACAAACAGTCCTGTGGTGTTTAGAGTCTCCCTTAGTTACCACCAAGCCTCTGTTTGATTTCTTGCATGGCAACAAAACAAGGAGGGGAAGATGAATGGCCTCTGGAATACACTTCGGGTAAAAGGTAGAATTCAGCTCCTGGGTAATTTGCTGGAAGTGTGCACAGAAGTCAACTATCAAATATGCAGGAAGCAGTCCTTCTCCTGATCCTCCTGGGTGCCATGTCAGGTAGGAACTCCATTTTGCCACTTTGCTTGCCTGACTCAGTTTACATGATATCATTGTTTGATAAAGTCCCCAAAGAGGAAATTGCCTCTGGGAGGCCTTGATCAACTGTGGGCTTATCTGCATTGATGAATAAGATGATGTAGCAACATCTTAACAGAGGTGGCTAAAGAAGCCACAAGCTAGTCTATGTTTGTATAGACTTCACTTTCCCTCTTGTGTTAAGTGGCCTGAGCTGGAAGTCCTTCCAAGATTCAAAGTTGTGAAAATAGTTTTCATAGCAGTTTTGTGCTGTGGGGGAGGAAATTTTTTTTCTCTACCCTTCTAGGTCCTTTTGACTGGTCTATTAATTAAATTGACATAAAACAGATTAATAGTAGAAAAGCAAATTTAATTATGTACATGGGGTGTGGAGGGGGTATAAGAATATGAGACCTGCAGGTAGCCAGGCAATTGAGCCTCGTAATTGAGGGGACACAGAGAGGACTCTGATCTCCAGGCCCTTCTCAGCTCCTCCAAGCCCACTATCCTTCACCCATATTTTTTGTAGTTATCTTTGGTGGTAGCTTTCTTCTCAGACCAGGCCATCTATCTAAATTCTTATAGGCAGTTAAGGGGGAGGTAAAACAAACAAACAAACAAACAAACAAACAAACAAAAGAAAAACGTAAGAAACTATTCCTGAATCTTTTGGGCCTCAATTGTCTTCAGCTCAAAATGGTCCGCATGCCAAAGTGGCACATTCTGGGGAGACTTGTATTAAACGCCTTCTGTTTGTATGTCAATTCAGTCTTTGTGGCAAGTCTGACCTTTCTCTGGAGTCTTTTGGAGGCAAGTTGAGGTTGGCAAATCATCCTGTGGAAAAATCGAGGCACTGAGGGTGTATTGTCTTAGTCTTGAGCAGAGAAAACGTGTTCTGATGGAAGAGCCAAAGATTCAGCCTAGCTCTTCTTGTGCTTGCTCTTCCTTACTCAAGAGCTTCAAGAATCTTGGGTGATCTTTTTAATGTTGCCAGGTTGGATTATTGAAATTGAAATTTTTTTAAATTAAATTTTATTTTTAAATAGGTAGTATATGAATAATATATGGAATTCAATCACACTAAATTTGCAGATTAATTTAGAGATAATTTACATTTTTGATGAGTTATACTTTAGTAAAACACTTAGAGAAGTGTCTGGTACATAGTAAATGTTAGTCATTATTATGTATGACATTGAATCTTTCTGTCCAAGAACAGGATTCTAGATACTTATTCAAGTCTTCATTTGTTTTCCTCAGGAGTATTTTAAGATTTCCTTCATATAGATCTTGTACGTTCTGATTATGTTTAGTTCTAATACTTTCTTTTACTTTTACTTTTTTTTGCATTTGTAAATGAATCTTTCTTTCCGTTATATCTTTTAATTGATATTATAATGTGTAGAAGTGTATTAATGAATTAGTGTATTATTTGTAATGGATTTTCAGTTGATTCTCATGCATTTTCCAGGTTTGAAAATAATAAATATTTGTACTTTTCCTCACCTATTTTTCTATCTCCTATTTCTTTCTATTATCTAATTACTGTGCCTGTACCTTCAGGCTTTTGTTAAACAATGAAAAGAATGTATATTTTTGGGCCGGCCGAGTGGCACGATGGTTAAGAACTGGCTTGGGATGCCAGAGGCCCCGGTTCGGATCCCACATATGAGGGCCAGTGACACTGCCCTCTACAGCTAAGATGCTGAACAACGGCTCAACCTGGAGCTGGGCTGCCGTGAGTCGCCGGCAACGGCGTAGGCTGCAGCCCCTGTGGCAGTGAGTTGCCATGGGCTACCCCATGTGTGGCCAGCAGCCAGCGTGAGCGGCCAGCAGCTGCAGTGAGCGGCCATCCAGAAGCCGGCGACTGATGTGCCTCACCCGGGAAGAGCGCAATGATGGTGCCAACTTGGGCCAGTGAAGCAACATCCTCCACAACTAGACTGAAGAACAAAAAGGACAGCATCTTGTCTGTTCCCTTTCCCCCAATTCCCCAGTGCTGTTCCCATCCCCCCAATTCTCCAATAAAAATCTTAAAAAAAAAAAAGAATGTATATTTTTATCTTGTTCCCCACTAAGCATGATGCCAGCTTTTGGAGTGAAGTATTCTATATGTTCTAAATAAAAATAGCTTTTATTTTTACTTAGGATATGTATTTCTAAATCAAGGTGGGTTTTTAAATCAAATGCTTTTCTGACATCTATGGATATAACCATTTCATTTCCCCCTTGATCTGCTAATATGATAAATAAATAACTGGGTTTCCTAATACTGAACACTCATTAATCTTAAGTTTTTAAACTCAGCAGAGGGAAGGAGGAAGCTGGACCTTGAGCAGCTCGGACTCTCAAATGAAATAAACATTTGAGGTTTTCCCAGAAACACAGGCTTTTAGGACCACAATCATTTAACAGGTGACATTTATTGTTACTGGGGGAAGAGTAAGGTTAGAAAGAACCCAGTATCTCATACTGAACAGTATCATCTAGAACTTTATCATCAAATGTGTGAAAGGAACTGATCACAAAGGTTTGCAAGAAATACTTGAGATTTCCTATAAAAGCCACATTCAACTCTCTTCCTCTCTAAAAACTGTGCACTGTACCGGGCTTTTGCTCCTAGTCGAATCCTATTTTTTTTTTTGGAAGGTCTGCTGTGATGTAAACTGTTTCTCTCTCACCTTTTCTGTGAGTCCAAGAACCTGACCCTTGCCATCACTCTATAACATCAGGCTCACAGAGGATTCGGCAAGGGAGACGGTCACATCAGTACCTGCCTTCAGGATATTAGAAGCAGGCATCACCATAATCAATGTCAACCAATGTAACAAGCTCCGGAATCCTCTTTCTTCTCACTTGGTCTAACTCCTTTGCATCTTCCACAGCCCAGCTCAAGCCCTACCGTCCCCATGGAGTCCTCCCAGATTACCCCAGCTCTTGGCAGGCGCTCTTCCTGCTACAGCCTGAAGCTCCCCTTGCCTGTTCATGGAATGCCTGCCAAGGGTTTAGTACAGTGCCTGACGGAATAAGTGCTCAATGAAAGTTACCATAAAAGTGATCAAAAAGTGCTCATGAGTTATCATACTATAATTCATCTGGTATGTGTCTGTCCTGTCTCCTCAACTGGAATGTCAGCCCTGAAATAACAGGTTTCACATCTCTTATTGCTCTGTGGTCCCCAAGTGCCACATTCATTTGGGGTATCCAATAAATGTTTTAGTTGATCATTATCCCTTTTGGGGTCCATTTTATTTTCACATTTACTAATACCCCCTAAATGTAAAAATGTAGATCTTCTTCCTGCTTAATATTGTCATGTAAATTAGTTTCTGTCCTTTCCACCTCCTATTAAGATGAGAGAAATGAAAGTTTCTCTTTGAGATGTTAGTGACCCATTCCAACAACAGCTTACAAAGAAAAGCCCCATAAGAACCTAAACTGGACAAAACTCCCCACTGGACCTGTGGAAAAGAGTTGAGACAAAACAATCTTCTGGCTCCATCAGTACCAAAGGGCCATGTGCCATTCCTGGAAGTTGGAGGACTTAGCAAAGGCCCCTTTGTATGTTTAAATCCACTATACACTAAAGTTGTCTACATTTTCAGAAAGCCTCCAGGGAACTAGCTTTTGTATTACTCTAATGAAAATGAAAAATGCCAGTGTTTAATGAAAGAAGGGGTCCATGGTAACTGGAAGATCTGCATGAATATGAAAGAGTTACCAGGCCCATTGACCCGAGTTTTGTTCACCCAGCACCAGGCACGAGGCTATCTCAAGTCCCTCTAGGAAAACCCTCCCCAATCCACCCTACCCCACCCCAAAACTTGCCATGTGGGCCTGGTCCTCTGCTGGGCAGTGTCAGGCAATGAGAAAGAGGCCCAAGACTCAGTGTCTTGTGCTTCTTGAGGACTAGGTGCAACCCCTTCTTAATTCTGTAATCATTTGAAAAGGCAGGAAAACGCAGTTCATTTCCAGAAAGTCTTTCTGTCACTGGTTAATCCTATATACTGGGTCCAAAGAACATTGCAAAAGGTTTCCACTTTTTCTATCACGTCCCTTTCCTGTTCAGAGCCAACTCAGAAGAGCAGAAGGCCATCCCTCCTCTCACTCTCCCCACTCCCTCTGTCTTGCCCAGGACAGCCTGGTTGTCCCCCTCTCACCTCCAGCTCAAGCACTTGGTCAGTGGAATCCATTTGCTTTTCTACCTTGAGGAGTTGGGAGAGGTCTAACTCTTGCTAATTATGACCTACGGTAATTTACAGAGTCACTAGCAGAGTCACCATCTTTTCTTCTGTGTTCCACAAAGGGCTCCCATTTATTAGCCTTGCCTGGAATGGACCAGCCCCCCAAAAGGGGTGGGTGAGCATCACATCAAGGAAGGTATCCATTGTAGAAACTAAAGACATAGGAAGACGTTGCATATACTGAAACAACAACATGCTGTAATGTTTTAGAGTTTATCGAGCACATGCATTTTCTTATCTGGTACCTGTGTTGTGAGGGTGAATTCCAGTAGGCCTGGAATTAGCCTGAATTGCTTTGCTAACGTCCCTGCACAGAGCTGACCCCTGGTCAAGGCACGAAGCATACTGATTAACAGCGCTGCTTAGTAACCATGGGTCCTGGGAATTTGAGGATGGTTTGTACAGGCTTGTAACTGTCGTTGATTGATAACAGTGAAGTTAATGATTTACACCTGATCTGGGTGAGACCCTTTGAAGGCTCTGCTGTGAAGGCTGGTTTCCTAACAAGATGCACATACATGACCAACACAATAGAAAACTTTTCAGCAGAGAGTCTATTTTGGGTTCCCTGGTTCCAAGGTATTTGTAGATAATGTTGGTGGCTCCTGACCTAAGCAAGTGCATTTTGTCATGGCCCTTAAAGAAAAGAGGACAACGGGAGTGGTGCCTGGCCTCTCCAGTCCTCATCTGTGAGGCGACCTTCAGCCGTGATGCATACCCTCACTTTAATGTTGTTGC